CCCTAATTTTGGGAACACCCCCCCTTCAGATGCTAGATCCCATGCCGCAAGACCTATGATCCAGCCCTATACACCCCTCTATGCCCCTCACAACCCTCTAGAGCCCCATATACCCCACAGAACCCTATACAACCCCATATAATATCATAGAACCCTAGATATCATTGTAGAACCCCATAGAACCCTAGACCCCAGGCTTGGCTTCCGCAATGCATTGAAGAAAGGTAATGGGTTTTCTCAGGGTCGTAGGATTTTAGGAGTTGGGGGGTTTAGAGTTTTACGGTTTTAGGGTTTAGGGTTCAGGGTTTTAGGGTTTTAGGGTTTTGGGGTTTTACGGTTATAGGCTTTAGCGCTCAAACATGGACGCTGAAACCTTCAAACTCCTTCAAGCTCTCAAGTTCGTATCGTCCTGTGGCCCCAAAAGACCTCAAGCCCAGAAACCTTTCAACTTCCCAGAGAAACCTGACGTTGCCATGAAAGCACAAAACAAACTGAGCCCTGAAGCTTCTCATTAATCCCTATAAAGCCCTATTAGAATGCAGTAGTTTCCATTTCATTTTCCATTATCCCTATGTATCCCAAATATATCCCTAGACCCTAAACCAATATAACCCCCCAATATCTTGCCCTAGGGCCTGTGCTAGCCAGGCTGGTGTCTTCAAGGAAGCAATAGAGCCGCTCTTCCACAGCAGCAAGGCGACTGTGGTAGCCGAAGACACCTTCATCGCCGCTCGCCTAGGGTCTAGGGATATATTAGGGATACATAGGGATAATGAAAAATACAATGGAAACTACTGTATTATAATAGTGTGTTATAGGGATTAATGAGATCGACAGTCCACCACCTCTCCCTGCCTCGTCATCGTCGATCGTAGTAGTGGGCTTGACAATTGCAGTTGTATAGACATGAGGGTAACAGTTTAGGAACAGTCCCAGGAGGTTTATGTGATTTTTGTCAGGCACAAAGGTTTTTCAAAACAATGGGGCCCTTCTCTGCGGGTTCTATGGGTTTTACAGGGGTTGATAGGGTTCGGGTTTCTTACAATAAGGGCTACCTCTAGGGTGGTTAGCCAAAGAACGATCCTTTCAAATGAGCTAAAGTCTAAACTCCTTAATGGGGGGTTATATAAGAGATTCTATAGGGGATCACTATAGGGGGTATTCATTGGGATGCTAGGAGTTTAGTGGCTCAGATGATCTTTCAGGAGCCGCAGAAGGATCTCATGACCAGTGGGACGAAGGGCTTGGCTCAGGACCTCACCTATGGTCGAGTGGAACCCCGTGACTTGGACTGGGATTGGTGCCCCCTTCATACAGTCCCCTTCACGATGTTTGAAGGTGCATTAGAGACGAGTTATGGTTTCCATTGCAATTGTCGCCGGCATAGAATCTTCATCTTTCCTGCTCAGTATTCCATCTCCTCCTGTCTTGCGGGAAGCAAGGTTTCTTCAAGCTTCCATAGATCCCTGGTCTGTTGTGGGCCAGCTCCCCTGAGCTCTTGGAGGAGTTCTTCTTCTTTGGAACTAGGTCCAAAGCTGTGTGTTAGCGGGCTAGCGGGTAACCTGAGATCCCAATGCGCTGAGGTCCCTTGGGTCTCAGGAGCCAGCTAGGCAAGGACAAGGCCGGGAGTGATCTTTTGGGCTCATCCCTCAATAAGCCACAAAAGCCTAGGGTCCGTTTCATATTGCATTTGATTCTCCATATTTGTCGTACTGAGAAAACTCTACGTCACCTTACCTCGGCGCACACACTGTTGGCTGTTTTGCTCGTTCCATCCTCCATCTGCGGGTCTGAGACATTCTGTCAGGTCGTCCCCCTGGCGCTGAAGCAGAAGGCCGAAACAGCTGTGCCCGAGGCAGCCAATGCTGCGTGGGTGGACGCTATCGTTGCGGAGGCGTGGCATCAATGCCCATACTTACTGGGGCTCAGTAGGGAACAAGGGATGCTGCAATATGTAAAGTTAGATGCTAGGGATTACATTGGGAATATATTCCCATATTCCCTACTACCCACTGGTAATAAAAGGACTTTACTGGGAACCCTAACCACAAGAATATAGCAGGAATATAATAGAATATAAGAACCCTGGTAGGCATATTCCTGTTATATTCCTGCTATATTCTTGGGGTTCCCTATTTAGGGTTCCCTGTAAAGTCCCTTTAGGTAAGTGTAGCTTTTGGTGATCCGGGGTTTGGTGCTCCGACAACAGGCCCAGATCCAGCAGGTGGCGCCCAACGAGATTCATCCGCTGCCCGATGTCCTGGAGGGCACCACCTACACGCGTGAAGGGGCCATCTGCCTACCTGAGGACCTGCTTAAGGCTTAGGGTTTAGGATTTAGGATCATATTGGGGTTGTATTGATGGAAAAGAAAATGGAAACTACTATTTAGGGTTTAGGGTTTAGGGTTGGAGTATATTCCCTTATTCCCTACTCAACCCCTGTAAGTAAGGAGTGCTGCCATGCTGACCATCGGCGTGTAGGCAAGCAAGAGGCATTTTGGTTGTGAAGGCAGCACATTGGGTTGTAAAGAAGCTGCTGCAGACACCATCTTTGAGTGCCACAGGAAACAATCACAACTCATGAGAAGGCTTTCCCGACCTAAACTCTCAGCAATCTGCCCTCAAATCTGAGCCATGAAGGACTTAAGCTCATCGCACTAGCCCCAGACGATGAGCAGCATCCAGATTGCGATGAACAATGGCAGAACACCAAACTCTTTGACGGTTCAACTCTGCAGGATCTGGATGAACCTCTAAACTTAAATTCTAACCGTAAATCCCAACCCTAAACTCTCTGCAGGAGCTGGATAAACCCCAAACACTAAATCCTAACCCTACATGGCCTAAAGCCTCTGCAGGAGCTGGATATGCCCTTTACGGAGAAGCAGGCGCTTGCTCTCCAGCAGACGGATGACTTCCCTCGTGTCCTTGTCAAATTGACACACACTTGGGAGTTTCCAAAAACTTAGGCGTATTATCCCCGATGATGCTTAGGGTTCAGGGTTTAGGGTTGAGAGTTTAGGGATTATGGGGGTAATTGTTCCCAATAATGGCGAATCACCTGGACAACAAAATGGACAATGTAATGGAAACTAGGATTCTCCAGTGGTTGATAATTAGGGTAGTTTGTTGGGGTTCATGCAATGAGGATTATGGTATTTTATGGTCCATATTGGGGTGCCCTTGTTAAAAGAAGCTACTGCTTGCAGTTTTCAGGGGTTTGAATTCTGGGGTTTAAGGTTTATTATTCAAGTTTAGGGTCAAAGTTTGAAGTTAGTCTTGTTCAGGGCTGCTGCAGGGATGGTTGTGACTAGCAAAACTTTAAAAGCAGTGTTGCGGTAGTAGGAAGAAGACGGCAAATGGGTGATTTCAACAATGACAAGAGAGACTGTAGTATTCAAGTTAGTGCCAAGACTGCCAAATTATTGTAGGTAGAATAACTCTTGCGCCGCCTGAGGACCTAGGCCCCTAAAACGAGTAGGACTCCAATGATTTCAGCTACTTCGGGTGGTACAGGACATCTTACAATGACCGTATGATCTTGGTCTTGGCAGCGGCAGTGGCAGTGGCGGTGGGGCTGGCGGTGGCGGTGGCGGTGGTGGCGGTGGCGGTAGGAGTACTAGTAGTAGTCGTCTTCGTCGTAGAAGTAGAAGTAGAAGTAGAGGTAGAAGTAGAAGTAGAAGTAGTAGTAATAGTAGTAGTAGTAGTAGTAGTAGCAGCAGTAGTAGCAGTAGTAGCAGTAGCAGTAGCAGCGCCGTAGCAGTAGCAGCAGCAGCAGCAGCAGCAGCAGTAGTAGTAGTAGTAGTAATAGTAGTAGTAGTAGTAGTAGTAGTCGTGGTGGTAGTAGTAGTAGTAGTAGTAGTAGAAGTAGTAGAAGT